CAATTCCAGACTCTATCGTTCCTCCCTATATGACGAAAGAAACGACGATAGAAAATCTAATCCTAGAAGCACAGTTCTATGGATTGGGAAATTTGGAGGAAAAGGCTCGAGAGTTCTCGAAAGATATGGCAAACTCCCAACCGACTTCCAGTCGCAAGCCCAAGCAATACTTGCTGCGGGTATGTCTTTACTGCATATTGTCACTATGGGAGCACTGATTCAGTCTACTCTAGACTTATCCAGATGGCTTTCAAGTCAAGGATATGAAGTTGTCGGAGGCTGGATTCAATGGGATCCTACATAGCCGTCTCTCTCACCCAGGCACCCACATTATTGCTCCCAAAAAGCTTGATCTTCAAGAAAAGGGATTTGCTCCAGCACTCGCTTGGTACGAGCAAACAGTGGTTCGAACAGGCGGCATCGGCACTATGGGAAATTCTTACGAACTTTGGGCGTCATCGGAATGAGTACTGTCATTCATGCAATATATTTCGGAACTTTCTTTGACTCTATATGTTCAGTATCTTCGATACATACCTGTATTTAATATTTCAGTTTCTCCGGTGAGCCCGGTCTAGTAGACAAATCGATTGAATCAAGTTCAACCGCGAATCCTCCGGATTAGTATCATATTCATTTGACCGTACATAACCTGATGCCCTCGTTTTAAAATGGAGAAGGAAGCAGGTGAACCTAGTATCGCCTCGACCATTACCCGGTTTTCCAAGAAAAATCGACCAGAGTTCTAAAAGGTTATCATTGCCCACCTGGTCTCAGTTGTCACCTTCAAATTAACTCACAGAACGATATTCAATCCGTATTCGAGGAGGGATAAGAAAGTTCCACAACCTATGGCGGCATGTCACATCAATGTGCTCCCAACAGAGCTACTTCAATCAATATTTATCGAGTTTTGGCGATCCGAGAGTGGATCCCCTACAGAACTCTTGTCAGTCTGTCGACATTGGGAAGCAATTGCCCTCAACACCAAACTACTTTGGACCAAGATTCGCTTCGGAGTTGACAATAGAAAGAATCCCTCTCCATCTTATGTAACCTGTGTTAACGCCGACGAGCTCTTTCACAGGTTACTTTCCATTGAAGGGATGAAGTTCGATTTCTGCGCGGCTGTGGTATCAAGGAGGAGCCTCAAAGATTCTCTGTGTCACTCAACTCGGAGCCAGTTCCGCAATTGCAGGTCTTTCCAGGTGACTAGACATAGCACCAATAAAGTGCTGCGCCTCCTTACCGATGTGTCCTCCTTGGAAGAGCTGAAGCTGGAGTACGTCGACTACGACGAGGTACACAGGCTGTTCGAGAGATTAGATAAGCCAGAAGCGCGCCTCAAATCCCTTCATTTTGAAGGGTATCTCAGCGGAGATTGGTGGCAATTCAACACAATGTTTAGTCGGCTACAGGAACTCTCCCTCACAAACTATTCAATTCAGCCTAAATGGGCAGGACAGCGTCTCTTTAACAGTTTAAAGGCTTTGAATAAGCTAGAGTTTAACAACTCTGGAGGTTTCTACAACTTTCGTGATGTTTTCGAAGAGCGGCTTGACGTCGCCTCCCCGACATTACAAGTACTAACATTAAGATCAGGTTTCCTCCAATGTTTCACCCATACTTCATTAAGAAATATCGTCGAAATGTCCATATATGTCACGGTTTCCGCCTGGCACGACCGGAGAACACCGATTGGCGATCCGATTCTCTTTCCCTCACTCAAGACGCTCCTGATTTCTGGTGCATGGCATAGCCTCGAGGAGATAGTTGCACCAAATTTAGATATTCTCGCTCTTGAATACGGCAACTATAATTCGGATCTCGGTCTAATGTTCCTTGCCGCAACACAGCTCCGCCCGCGGATTATCTGCGCCCAAGAACTCAACCAGACAGGTCTATTTCTTTTCATCATCGATACCTTCGGTGACACGGCACTAGAAATTCGACTTGGATCTAGCGTCGGCCCTCCTCTGGACATCGTCAGGAGTAGAATGGAGAAGATGACAAATATGGGCAAGATTGTACGATGGAATGGTATCATCTTACCTTGAGACATTCTCTCGAATACTGGCATGTGTTAGCTAGCATTATCGCAGATGAAATTACAGGTTACCACTGAATTTAATCCCATGGCTGTCATGAATTCTCTGTATTTGACTCTTCTTTGGGACTTGGCCTAGTATATATGTAGACATTATCATAACCGCTACGCAAGGTTCCAAATTGATGACGGCGCGTGTGGTGGCATTCAAACAAAACTAGTCATCTACCACGATGAGCACTACTTCATCAGCACTATCTGGGAGGATCATTCGCTGCAAGATGTGCAGGTACACTCTTTATTCATGCTTATTCGTAAATTCTAACTAATATACTTTCCATAGAAGGACGCTTGCGGGTTCAACGAACATGATGACACACAACGAGGCACTAACGGAAGCCCAACAAGACAACAACCTGGACCAAAACGAAAGAGAGGAGCCTTCGATTCCCGCTGATGTTCCTCAGACCCAAGCGTTGATCAACGCAAAGTGTTCTGGCTACTTCGTCCATCCAGTATGTCCATCTCTTTATTCATGGAATGACTTTATGCTTATACCACTTAGCTGCAATGGATGCAATTTTTGGAGCAGGGCGAAACCTCAGGCAAGATCATATGTCCAAATGAAAAGTGCAAAGCGAAAGTAGGAAATTACGACTGGGCCGGAGTGAGTTGTAGTTGCGGAGAATGGGTTACACCTGTGAGTAAAGTACTTTTTCAGCACAAGATGACCATCCTAACCGCAGAACAAGGGGTTTTGTATACATCGGTCCAAGGTGGACGAACTTCGATGACTCGGATAGCCTATCGTTACATTATACTATGGCCGCAGAGCCCTAAATTAATTTTCCATGATGCTTCCTGTACCACCGACTTCACTGATCATAGAGGTCGCTGCCGAATGAATCATTGTAAAGCGGACACGCTCCAATCGTTGCAACGCTTCAGCTTCTGTCTTCATGTTATAGCGTCGCATCAGGGCCCAGAGATAGTCAGATCCAGCGCCGTGCTTCGACCTGATAAATATTTCCTCTAGACGAGCAAGTGCCAATGCCATATGTTTCGACGAGATTTTAGCTTCATCTTCTAAACCAGGGTCACTATATTGCTCGCAAGCGGAACTAACTGTGAACTCACGTGCCAAGAAGTCACCCAGATCAACTAGTATCAGCCCCCACCAAGTTTTCGGTGCTTGCGGGCCTGATTCTTCTAAGAGTTCCTCTAGCTCTTCTCCTACTCTCGCCTCTTTATTGTTCGAAGAGACGGCGAAATGGAATTCTGCATATGCAACAGTGAACGCCAGTCGGATGCAAAAGATTTGACGGTCATTTGGAAGATTCTCGGTTGGATACATGAGTTCGGTAGGTATTTGGTCCACCAGAAGAATGAACTCGCGGTGCCCTGGGGTCATTGTGAGACACTCGACTACAAGACGATGAGCATACAAACCGTTGACGAGGTATTCGTTAAGTAGAGCACCAACTACTCTATTAAGAGCCTCGGTATCGTTGTTTTGAGCACAGAACTGGACCGCTTTTCCGTATTGCCGTAATGCCGTGAACTTTCTTGCAGCGATCTTGATCGTCGATGAGACAAAGGAATTT